TTTGATGATGGCTTTTTATGAAGGATTGCTTGATAATTCTAGGATTTTGGTGGATGCTTCTTCAGGTGGATCATTCACTGTTTTAGAGCTAACACAAGCCGGGGAACTATTGGAGAAGATTTCTATGAATGGTTCTACTTGGTACTTGGAGAGGTCTTCACAAAAGCTTGTGGGAGGAATTATTGAGGGGGAGCAACTTTCCACTTTGTCAGCCAAGGTGGATAATGTGGCTTCTTTGGTCCAGAAACTTGCTCAAGTCACTTTGAAAAATCAAGCTGTAAGTTATGTTTCTACATCTCCTACTCCCACTACTCAAGTTTTATTGTGTGATCTTTGTGGTGGGGGTAATGAGTGTCTCAATGATTCAAGTTCTCAATTTCCCATGGAGCAAGTTAACTCAGTTGGATATAATCGACCACCACATCAGCTTTATTGATCTCAAGGGGCTTATAATCCATACAATTCAAGAAACCACCCTGGTTTTTCATGGAGTAACCCAATGGGGGCTTCCAATCCCCAACACTTTACTAATAGGGGTCCCCCAGGTTTTAAATCTCAATTACCCGCATTGGAGGCCCCATCACAAGTAAACTTGGAAGCCATGATGAGCATGATATTGAAATCTCAAATGCAAAGTGATGAGAAGATCAAACAATTGAGTGAGAGGGTGGAACAATTGAGTGCCCATAACAAGATGCTTGAAAAAAAACTTGCCAATCAAGCTTCTACATCTAGCACGAGAGTCACAGGTATGTTGCCCGCTAGCACCGAAAATCCAAGGGAGCATGTAAATGCAATTGTTACAAGGAGTGGCAAGATACTTGAAGAGCCACCTCTTCCAATCAAAGCATCAATTCCTAAAAAAACTGTTGAAGAGGAGATTGAAAAGATACTTGAGGGTGTAGAAATTGAGCCAACTGCTTTGAAAGATAATCCACAAGTCATTGATGAAGGAAAGAAGCCCGTAAGGAGGTATGAAAATCCCTTGCCCTTTCTTTTAAAAATGCAGCAACAAACAAAGGAAAGTAGATGGAAGAAATTTTTAGAAATAGTTGAAAATTTGAAAATTTCTGTCCCTTTACTTGATTTGCTCTCCCAAGTCCCCTCCTATGGAAAATTCTTGAAAGATATACTTGCTAAAAAAAGAAAATATGGGGAACATGAGATGATTGCAATGGCACAAGAGTATAGGGCTTTGAAACTCGGAGTTGAGAGGAGAGTGACTAAATATAAAGATCCGGGGAAGTTCACAAGTACTTGTATTGTTGGAGGCCGTCCTATAAAGGGATCTCTTTGTGATCTTGGAGCTAGTGTCAATGTCATGCCTCTTTCACTTTGAAAGAAGCTAAATTTTGGGAGATCCTAAACAATCAAACTCGCATTGTTCATGGAGAATTAGTCTACTTCAACCGTTGTTGGTATACTTGAAGATGTTCTAGTTCGTGTGGACAAATATTTTGTCCCTGTTGATTTCATTGAAATAGATGCTCAGGAAAATCCAGACATTACACTCATCTTGGGGAGACCTTTCTTGGCCACAACTGGAGCATTAATTGGTGTAAGGAAGGGAACGGTGATTTTTTACTTTGGAGAAGAAAAAGTAGAATTTAATGCCTTCGAGGAGAAAAGTTCATGCAACATGGTTCATCTAATGAAGTGGGATGAGGACAACCTCGAGAATCAACCACGATGAGCACTCATTAATGAGGTTACGTCGAGCTAACGACGTTAAACTTAGCGCTTCATGGGAGGCACCCCATGTTATTTTTTTATTAATTTCTCATTTATTGCTTTCTAGTTTCGTTTTATTTAGTTTTTTATTGCTTTCTAGTTTCGTCTTATTTTATTATTTATTACTTTTTAGCTCGTGTTATTTTTGCCCTTTCTTTTCTCTTGTTCTCCTTTCTTTTGTTTTACATCAGCGGCGATGCAAATTTTTAAGTGTGGGGGAGGAAATTTGGGGATAATTTCAAATTTTTGCTTTTGCTTGGATGACTCATATTCTATTTTTGGAGAATAAGTTACTTGTCTCAGCATGCAATTGCAATTACTCTCTCTTGTTGACCCAAAGCACCCGCCAGAACCCCCTTTGTGAACAACATAACCGGAGGGTGGTTTCAACGGGTGTGCCACCGCCCGCCCGAAACCCCTGCTGGTACGTACCTGTACAAGAAATTTTACTCGGGAAAAATGCCAAGAATTTGCAATCCAAGTCCAAACTCAACAAAACTCATACCAACAACAAATATGATTTTGAATAGAAGAAATGACACACTAAACACAAGTATACACCTAAGATACAAGCTCTAAAATAAGCATAAACACAAGATCATGCTCATATTCATCAAGAACACCAAGAATACACATTATAGAGTTAAAGTAGGTTTTCATGGACATAGGGTTACCTTCTTAGCTTAGCAAAACACCTCAAAGCTCCTCTAGATCATCCTACCAAGCCATCCTGAACTTGATCTTCTTAAAACCCCCAAAACCCAACATAGTAAAAGAGTAGTGATTAAAAGAAAGTAAAGAGATCTTGGATAGAAAAGTTGTAGAAAGGCTTGATCTTACCACTCCTAAGCCGTATGAGATGGAAAGGTGGAATCTTGGTCTTGTTTCTTGAGTTGGAATATGAATGATATATTTTAGGTGTGTAAGGGGAGAAAATGGCGTGAAGAAGAGATATGGAAGAGAGAGTGAGTGTAGGTTTTATTTAGGTTAGGTCTTGTAAGGAGTGATACGTATATGTATTCATATGTATATAATATAAGGGTTGCAAGACTAAGTGTAACACCCCCAAAACTTAACAACGGTAAACAGTTTAACTTAGGAAATAAAGATAACGACTATCTGACCGAGACACGTTTTTCATTTACGGTTCTCTTTTAGGAAGCGTGGTCAAAAGATTAGATAAGCATGGTCGTGTGCGGGAAAGGATGTAAAGAATTAAAATGGGGGAGTGAGAACCACCCAGTATCGTACTCAAAGAGTGATAACTTGGAAGTTTTGAGAGAGTGTTATGGTAAGGATATTTGAGCTTGAGGTTTTTGGTCAATGGATTTCATTACCAGGTTGTGGTTGAGTAAGAGAGCAACGGAAATAGAAATAGGAAAAGTAAAAACAAAAGGAAGGAAAACAGGCTAGGATTGTGTGTTGACTGCATTGTACGGTTGGCCTTACCGAGGGTTGAGTGATTAAAGCGTGTTGAGACTCTAGTTAAGAGGAATGCCATCGTTAGTGCGTAGCCGATTCGGTCTAAACACCACTCGTAGGAACTCCTGTTCTCTAAAAGGCATTACAACAAACATCTTGCCTACATTCTTTTCCGGACTTGGCCCTCTCGGATCGCAAGATGGGAATTGCAAGTGGTAAGGCTAGAGTGCATCACAATCTCTTGCCAATGCACTCATCCTAGATCTAATGGGTGAAGTGCGCATCTTCACACACTGGTCTACACAAAACTCACTTCCAAAAAGACAAATAAGCCAACAACAAACAAGAATCACAAATCACAAGTCAAATCAAGCAATGGAATATACACATCAATCCAAGGTCCTATATTATCTATCTATATATGTGAGGTTTTGGAGGATCCGTTTGGACTACGTCCTCTCAGGAAGAAAGAAATGGACATTGCAGTCCAAGTATATATAACGTGGCGTATTCCCACATTACGAGGTTGGAGACTGTCCGCCAGGCTTGGAATCCTGGTTAGGTGGTGTGCACACTAAAATTACGATACCTGATTCCACAGAGTATGAGTATTAGAACCACGAGATTGGTTCTGTGGGCGAGTTGAGTATGTGGCCGGCTAGATTGCCAAGACCGTTAGGTCCAATCACGATTCGTGAAGACATACCTCCCCACGAGTTAGAGGTTCCATAGTTACGGATGTGGCAGATGCACGAGATTGCACCGTACGCTAGGGCTTCGCTGTGGCGGAGTACTTGCCTCGCACAAGAAGAGAAATGAGAAGTATGAGAAAGTTTGAGCAAGAAAGATATCGAGTCAAGAGACTCAAGAGAAAGAAAGCGAGTCTTCGTGACTCTAAGAAACCTCCACAGAAAAGTATTCTATTTTACAAACGAGTGTATAGATATACTTATAGTATTGCACGAGATTGCATTTGAGAATGTTTACACGAGATTGCATTTAAGTATAGTATTGCACTAGATTGCATATGAGAATGATTAACCGAGAATGTATATTGAGCATGATAGCGTTAGTTGCATTTTTGATGTCTTATATATCCAGTTTTCATGATGAGAACTTGAGAGCATGAAGATAATTTTGTATTGAATGATGCATGCAATTGATTGATAGCATGAGTTCGTTATGATGAGATTTGTTATGAGAAATATGTGTCGGTGTATTTACGTTGATGAGTTTTATATATTTGAAGCATGTCTGTTGATATTATAGGTTGCAAGCATATAGAAAGTCTGTGATGTATCTTAAAGTTGTCCCAGTGTTGAGATTTGCTTGATTAGAGTTTGTGAACAAATGTTTTTCCAAAGTATATATTGCAGTACTTTACAGGGTTGAGTGTGGTTATACTTAGCTTCGTGTTAACGGGTGTTTTCCTATTTGTCTATGTGTTGTTTGTAAAACCCCTTTCAGGTGGGCCCAGCGTTGAGAGATGATCGAGTTAGACTAGTCTAGTATCTGTAGTAGTCTGAACTTATAGTTTTTTATCATGATGTTATTTGTCAGATTTATAGACTTATGTTGTTTTGATGATGATTGACGATGTAGACATCGGGGTGTGTTTTTCCCCTTTATGTTTTTAAATTAAGTTTTATGGATGTTAGTTATTTGTTTAATTTCTAGTTCTATCCATAGCCTGTGCAATCACCACGGAGTGGTGGTTGTGGCGGTGACATTCTCACTAGTTTACTTATTAAGTTGTTTATCCGCTGCTTAGTTTATGTTAATTGTGGTTTAGAATTGTAATTAAGATTTAGAAAAAGTGGGGTGTCATAGACACTGACCCGCATGACCATCCAACTTGCCGATGGAACCACACAGTATCCACTAGGCATAATGGAGGACGTGTCGGTCAAAATAAAAAATTCTGTTATTTTTGTAGATTTTGTAGTATTGGATGTAGGGCTGGAGCTAAAAGATGTGTGATTGATCTTTGGGAAACCATTCTTGGCCGCACAATAAGCTGTTATTGATGTGAGCGCAGGTAGACTTACCTTGCGCATCAACAATGAAGAGACCAAGTTTTGTATGGACATCAATGGAAGTAAACAAAAGAAAGCTGCAAAACCAAAGAAGAAATCAAAGGCCAAGATCAGCTATGCAGGAAAAGTAGGAAAGTTCATCTGGAGGAAGAAGGAAAGCGGTGTGCAAGCAACCGATGCTGGTTGAAAGAAGGGTACGTCGGGCTAGGACGTTAAAAGCAGTGCTGCTTGGGAGGCAACCCAAGGTTTTTATTTTTGCATTGTTACTTTCAATTTCTGAAAATTTTAATTTTTGAATAAATTTGTTTTTGAGGACTAACATGACAAGAATCACAAGATTATTCTAGGAGAATTTGAGCAAAAATTGAACAAGAAGACTGGACCAAAGAAGACCCGTGATCACGAGTGGAACAAGGCGCGAATAGGATTTTAAAATCCCATTCACGCGCTTATTCACGCCGTGACCACGGCGTGAATGAGGAATTAAGGAGAAAACCTTTAAATCCCATTCACGCACACTGTCACACCGTGACAGCGGCGTGAACGGTGGTGCGAAATGATGAAACCCTAAGGGAGGTTAGATCTCTCCTTTTGCTAAGTGTCTTCTTTTTCAACCTACTATCACATGCTTTATTTCCTATTCACTAAATAACAACATTCTCTCATGCAAAATTCATTCTTCTACTCATTTCTTTTATTTTGAGCAACATTTCAAGAACACTCTAGCAAATCTTCAAAGGTAACATCTTTAATCCCCTTGTTATCCTTTCTATTTAGCTTTCTTTATTTCAAAATTTTGTATGAAAGATTGCATCTTTGCTAGACTGCATAAATAAATGCTAGAATGCTTTCATGAATCTTGAATAACACTTTATTGACAACTTTGTATCATTGCCACTTTACCTTGTTTGAAACCCATTTGAAAATTTTTAGACCTAGCTTGCATGCTATGGAATCTGGGTTTTCTTGAACTTGTTGATGTATGTTAAAATTGATAAAGGAATTATGCAATTGAACGATGGATTTATGCTTATATGGTTTTTATTCGATTTGTGAACATCTACTTTGCATTTTTCTAAAGTTCAAGTATGCATGAATGTGGGATATGTTTACATTGCCCATTTGTTTGGACATATTTTGCCTATGATTCTTGTTTTAAACTCATGATTATCAAAAATTTTGTCATTTGTGGTTTATCAAACGAGGTGTGGTTGATTCAATAAGTTTGGAAACTTAGATAATGAAAGATGCTTATTTGCTAAATCTTGCATGACAAGTGGGGTGTTTTCAGTAACTAAGCTGAAATATAGCGATGTTAATTGTTTTGACATGTTGAAAGAGCGAGTATGAGTTGTTCTGAAATAGATTTGCTTAAGAACGTTTTGAATCATTGCATGAATGATATTTTGAGAATTTTGATCTATTACTTGAGAAGCATGAGCTAAATAGAGGAAATAAAACTATTGCATGTGTTGAAAAACTGCTCTGATTAGAAATATTCTTGACTGTTGAATTCTTGAGATTGTTAAATAAGTTGAATTGACTCTATAGGGAGCTAAAATGGTTTCAAATAACAGTGAAGTGAATGAAGCTGAAGTAACCTCAAGAAGGCAACCTACGCCTAGTGCGTCAAACATAGAGAGTGACCCTTCAGAAGACATAACGGAGGAATCTATCTTTGGTGGGTACAGTTTGGACTTAGACATAGTGCGACACTTTGAATGTGAGAGATCGGTCGAGAGATTGATGAGTCACCCCTGTGACACCCCATATTTTCAAGACATTTAAAACTTATAATAAAGGTAGAATCTTATTAAATCCCAAGATATAAATACAAGCGTTCGGGGTGCTATGCCACACCTGGGCTAGAGAACCCAAGTGCACAGGCTAACTAACTAATATCCTCAAAGCGTAAATACGTAAACGTGGCACGCAGGCCAAAAGGGAAACTATCTACTTCTAAGTTCTAGCGCACTCCAGTGACTTAATCTTCTGTGCCTGAAAGCCAAATATATCTGTTCAGCGAGAGATGCTGGTAACCCACTCCAACGCGTTGAAATACAATACATATAGAGATATATATAGATATACGGAAACCATTTTGAGCATGAAGATATATCCTACGAACTCTAGCTTTAAAACTGGGAATGACTCGACAGATAAGGCCAGACGCAAGCAACAGTTATAACAACATATGCAGTTCACAACAGATAAGGCAGATAAGGCAAAGCATAAACAATAGTCACAACAGATAGGTTTCAAAGTCGAGGGGCGGATAGGGTCGATGTCTCAAGGTCGTAATACAGGAAGGAAGGTTGCCACCTTGTACGGGTTTGTCTGTAATGAGGGATCAAGAGCGAGGTTTGGAGCGATAGGACGGATTCTTTAACGAAATGGTACTTGATTGGCAAGGGGAGGGAAAGGGGCTAAGGACTCTTGGCTTCGAGTGATTATGCCTGTTTGGGGCTTGGTTGTGGCGTGCAGTCGAACTGGTGATCCCTTTTCTTTGGCTTTGTTTGATTCTAAGATTTTCGTTTGATCTTCTCTTCCCGTGTCGAAGTCCCCTTCGTTTCTATGGCTTCCAGGGGAATTCTCGTGATGGTTTCCGTGCACGTTCCCCTCGGATGTCCAGAAGTCTGGACCCAGTCGGTTTAGTGGGTCAAACCCCTAGGTCTTGACTCCTAATCCTTGCCGAGGGTTCTTAAGGGTAAGGGGGGTTTCGGGTTAGTCTTTCTTGTTCTATTGGGTTTCATCCCTTCCTTGGTGGATGAAATTCTTAGCAAGGATTTATGTCATCCTCGAGGTTCGTCCTGTTGCACCTATTTGACGATGTTTTCTGTAGCGAGGGCCCCTGACACATTGAACGTATTTGTTTTGCCCGCTCTTGTCAACGCATGACGTTCTTTGGTGGCGTACGTACAGGCTATGGTTTCTCGTGAAGCCTTCACAGTTTTCGTGCAAGGGTGGGGTGATACGTATTCGTAACCTCCACCTACTTCGCCGATTCCTATCTAACAACTTATTTTAATATTGAATCAATGAATGTCGGTTCTTTACGCCCCTGGGTAGGGTAAGGGCCTTATGCTACTCCAGGGTTTCCAAACGGAGTGGGGATATGAACTTAGAGTAAGGGCAGTAACAATTTAGGGTTTCCGAGGGTTTGGGTTAAGCGTAACAAAGGGTGAGCAAGGTCATGACGGTTGCGAATTTGCTCTTAAGGTAATTAAGGATTCGGGGTGGGAGTTTTCAACGAATAGGGGTATCAAGATGCTGAGGTTTCAGGGCGGATGATATTTTAAATTGGGGTGTTGGGGTCGCAAGGTGTTGCGATATACTTACCTTGCACCCAAGTATTTGACTAATGGTGTCGTTCTTTCGCTACTTTAATAGGTGTCCTAGTTCTCCTTCCTGTTTGTTGTAGCCGCAACCTGGGTTTGCCGAGATAAGGCAACTTGTCGGAAGGTGCATGTCATTTGTCTGACTCGGGGGTTATCGTGGTTACCCTGGGTTGGTGCGTATTGCAGTCCGTCCCTTTTAGCAGTCCTGACTGTAACACCTCTTCTTAGTAGTCATCCAAATCTTCCTTTTCTTTGGTCAGGGTCCTTGTCAAGTCTTTTGACGGGAGTTAGGGCGAGGCAATTTATCGGGTAAGTGTACGTTACCCAGTTGTGGAAGTAAACTTATCTATTCGCACCCTTACCTGGTGTGGTAAGCGTAGGGGGAGGTTCCTTTAAGTTAGAGAGGGATGAAGTGAGGGGAGGTTATGTGTAGGTTTCACAATCTCACTGCGCGTCCTAAGATTCCTGGATCCTATGTTCCTAAGTACCTAGAGTTCAAGCCTAGTGTCCTAAAGTCCGGTCTTAAGAGTCTTATCCCAGGGTCAAACTTAAGCTCTGATACCAACTGTAACACCCCAGATTTTCAAGACATTTAAAACTTATAATAAAGGTAGAATCTTATTAAATCCCAAGATATAAATACAAGCGTTCGGGGTGCTATGCCACACCTGGGCTAGAGAACCCAAGTGCACAGGCTAACTAACTAATATCCTCAAAGCGTAAATACGTAAACGTGGCACGCAGGCCAAAAGGGAAACTATCTACTTCTAAGTTCTAGCGCACTCCAGTGACTTAATCTTCTGTGCCTGAAAGCCAAATATATCTGTTCAGCGAGAGATGCTGGTAACCCACTCCAACGCGTTGAAATACAATACATATAGAGATATATATAGATATACGAAAACCATTTTGAGCATGAAGATATATCCTACGAACTCTAGCTTTAAAACCGGGAATGACTCGACAGATAAGGCCAGACGCAAGCAACAGTTATAACAAAATATGCAGTTCACAACAGATAAGGCAGATAAGGCAAAGCATAAACAATAGTCACAACCCAACATAAACAATCCCCAATATAAGTCCCATAGTCACATCCCCCAAGACACTCATAATCACAACTCATCCATATCACAACACATAACACACTTTGTTGGCGCCACAGGACCAATCGCATGCCCATACATGAGGGTCAGCGCATATAGCTCTGACACGGCCCCGCAGCACCCTGCCCCGTATCGCAACACGGAGGGGTCGATCGCAACCGACCGATGAACCGCAGCTCATCATAGTGTTTGATCACAACCAAACAGTGGACCGCAGCCCAAGAGAATGTCATCTGACCGCAGCCAGGAAAAAGGACGAACCGCAGCTCGTATAGAAACGTTTGATCGCAACCAAACGGTGGACCGCAGCTCAAGAGTATCAATCTGACCGCAGCCAGCTTCTGAACCGCAGCTCAGGATAACCAATCCGATCG